CTGATCTTCTGAGATCAGGGAGGAGATTATATTCTTAATTCTTTTAGCAATAATAGAAGCGTAAATTTTATAATCATTATTTAATAGAGCTATTGGGCGATAATTAGTGATTTCTTCTGAGTTTTTATTATTTTTTTAAAATGGGTAAAATATTTGCGGCCAGCAATTCTTTAGGTAAATTACCTGTAGTCATCGCCAGGTTATAACAATCAACCATTCTCTGAGTCAACCTACCTTATATGTTTTAAAGAAGGAATCTGTAAATCCATCTGGACCTGGAGCTTTATTTTTTTTCATATCATCAATAGCATCAAAAACTTCTTTATAAGAAATCTCTATATTCAGTTGTCCTAATTGATGATCATCCAGCTTGGGCAGGTGAATATTCAAAAAATACCTATCAATCTCCTCTTGTGAAGATATAACTGGTAGATTATACAGTTTATAATAATAATTTCTAAATACTTCTCCAATTTTTTTAGGGTCTAATATTATTTCATTTCCCTGTTTTATTTTTGTAATTAACTTTGTTGGTAAGTAATTTATCGGCCTTATTTCCCCTATAATAATAATTTATTTTCATATATTGGAGATTTCTGTTTCTTTTAGAGATCATAATTTCATTTATTTTATTTTCTATTATCCTAATTTGATTCGAGATAATTCTTGTAGGTGTCATAATATTTTTTTTATAACATTCACTTAGTTCAATATATAGACTTGAGAGGGATTCCTGTCGCATTTTCTTGGACTCGGCTTCTAAACTAATAAGGTGCCCCCTTATGATGCTTTTAAATGCGCACCACTTTGTAACTGAGGACACTTCGTTGTTGTCGTTATCCTGCCAATACAGATCTATAGCCTTTGCGATCTGTTCCCTATTGTTTTTAGGTATTAATAACTTGTCATTTAGTTTCCAATCTGGCCTTTGCTTTAAAAATTTATTCTTTAATTGTATTTTGACCATATTGTGATCAGACCATGTTACCGTGATTATATTAGAAGATTTCACATTTTCTATCAGATTTCGATCTCCAAGTATGAAATCAATTCTTGAATAAGAACAATGAGTCTTACTAAAGCATGTGAAATCTTTCTCTGTAGGGTGAAAAATCCTCCAGCAATCATAAAGAGCTTCATTCTGTATTATGTTCCTAAATTTTTTTGCCTGATTTATAGCGTTCCTCGAGGGGATTTTAGACTTTTCAGACTGTCTATCCATATTGGGATCAGTTACCAAATTGAAGTCGCCCATAACTAAAGTATGGCCTTGTTTGATTTTATTTAGTTGCGCAAAAAATGTATATAAAAACTGTATCTGAGAGGTGTTTGGGGCATAAATATTAGCAAATGTATAAAGTTTATCTTCTATTGTGCATACTAAAATAATCCACCTTCCCATCGGATCAATCTTGGAATAGATAATCGAAACGTTTAGTGTTGAAGAGAAGAAAATAGCTACTCCCCTCTTTTTTTTATCTTTACAGGAAGAGCATACCGAACTAGGGAAATCTTTAAATCTAAATTTCCCCTCTTCTGTTCTTCTCCAATGGGTCTCTTGTATGCCTACAACTTGCGCATTTTCTCTTCTAATATGGTCAGCTAGGAGTTTCCTTTTTTGTGGAGAATTCAGGCCTTGTGCATTAATAGAAACTACATTAAACATAGAGAATTTATCTTATCTTTTTCTCTTTTCCCTTTTTCTTTCCCCTCTCATTCTCCTATCTTCTCCTCTCTCTTTTTTTTTCTTCCCTTTTTTACCTCTTTTCAGAGTCACATCTCCTTTAGGATAGGTGTCTTTTTTTACTGAGTCACATATTTGCATCATCGTCAACTTATAACAATCAAAAAACCACAAAACATTTACATTCACAACCACATTTATAAGAAACATCCCTTAAAGGAAGTATGGATGGACCTGTGATATTCCCTCTTTCACAGAACCTCCAAATAGATCCTGTATAGGATCATTATAATGATACTGAACTACCCCTTTTGGAGAGTATTTGAGCCAGATAGTAAATTTAGGACCCCGATTGGTACTCTAAACAATAAAGAGAGAGAAAAAAAAAAAAAAAAACTTATCAATCTCTACCTAATCCTTCTTCCTCCTCTTACCCTCTCTTCTCCTAGATGGTCTTAGGCTTCACACCCAGCCCATTATATTCTTCCACTTCTAATAAGCATAAATTATCATGCAATCCAACATAAACCTCAGTGATTAGCCAGCCCCTTGCGACAATTATCAACCTTTGTTTTTCTACCCCTTCAGTACCTCTATTTAATTCAATATTCTTATAACTTTTATAGCAATAACAGTGACTTATCAATTTACACTCATTTTGTGAAATCCGGCTTAAAATTAGCAAGCTGTGATTTGAAACTTAATTATTTAAATTCTCCTCTAAAAATCAGTGCTCGTTTGTGGACTATCACAAAAAAAAAAAAGTTTTACCCTCAAATCTCCCTCTCAAACTCTTTCTAAGGAAAATTCAATATCCCTCCTCATCTATTCTAATAATTATTTATTCCCGTTTCCTTCTTCAGTGAAATTTCTTCATATATAACGGCTATTATACTTATCCTTCCTTAATCATTAATTTACATTCTATTATTACAGTGCATATCGGAAACAGCAACCGTCTCTTTGCTGCCAGTAGTGACTTTATGAACCAATTGTATAAAGACCTAGTATCTTACGTTAACTAAAAAAAATACTTGCATGTACAATCTTCCCCAAAGAAAAAGCCCTACTAGTGCGTAACAATTTAGATTTTGTCAATTAACAAAGTCTATCTTCGTCTTCTTTATCTTCCCCTTAGATCAGGTATAGGTAGTAAAGCCAGGAAGGGGGGGAGAGAAAAAAAAATAAAATAGAAAACTCCTTCGTTTTCCAATTATTCAGCTTCTCTTCTGCGTCCTTTATCCTCATCTCCTAAATGTCCAATTGAAAATTCTGCTCTCTGAACCAATTTGAAATTTCTGTAACGTCTGAAAAGGAATATGTCCTTGCTTCATACGTAACGATAATCTTACAGGGATATCGCCATGCATATCTAATGTTCTTCTGATGCAGGATCTTTGTGTAATTTGCAAACGATTTTCTTTTAATCCTAGTGTGATAGGAGATATCTGGAAAAATCCTGATGTCGCTATGTGGATCCTTCATCTTTGTAAGTCTTGATGCTTTTATAACTTGTTCTTTCATTTTGTAAGACGAACAGCAGATCATCACATCTCTCGGTTTACTTTGATCCACATATACCGGTTTCATAACTCTGTGACTTCTTTCCAGGAAGTTTGATGAATTTATCGTTTGTATACCCAATTGTGCGAAAATCTCCCTGATATGATCTTGCAATTTTTCACTATTGACAGATTCTGGGATTCCCCTGATTCTTAGATTATTGCGACGGGAACGATCTTCCAGATCTGCAATTTTGAGTTCCATATCCTCTATCTTTTTATTTGTCTTTCTCAAGATATCTTCTGTTGTTGCTTGCTGAAATTCCATTGATTCTACTTTTTCTTCGTACTGCTTGAGTTTTTTTTCCATCTGTGATAACTCCAATTTGAATTCCAGCAGGCCTTCATGTATCTCCTTTTTAATTTTCTCAAGTTGCCGTTCAAAACAGGACTCAAGATAAATATGTAATTCCTCCGTACTATATTCTCTTGAACTTAAGTTAAGGATGTGCCCTTTGGAGATAGATGTTCTGCTTCTTTAAATGATTGAGAGGAGGAATCTGATATATTTTGTTGTTGATCTAATTCCAATTTCTGTATTTGTGGCGGAACTGACGACGAGAGCCTTCTATCTGACTTGCATTCTAACTTTCTTTCTCTTTTCATGGGCTGTTTATTATCTTGCCCTTTCCTAGTGGTCATCTTGAGAGATGAGGAGAAAAAAATAAATTAAAAAAAATTCTCCTTTAAGCCAGGTTCAAACGGACCTTTATGATGTTAACGCTTGTTCCACGCCTTTGATGCTTATAATGCTTTAATTGCGCTTTCTTTTCTTCGCTTTATTTTTCACTTAGCTTTGCTCCTTTATCTTCTTCCAACTTATCTCTTCATTTATAAATTATTAACTTCTGCTTGAACTATCATATTTAGTTGTAATAAATTAATAGTTTTAAACACTTAAGCATGTTTTACATTTCCTGTTTTCTTTTGTAGTCTTAATTGTTGTCTCTTTGCTTTATCTTCAAAAGTCTTACAAAATATTGTCTTGGTAATATTTGTATTTTACTTTTTATGATAGTCAGCTGAGTCAAATATCTTTTTATGAATACTTAAAACACCATAGCCTGTCTGAATACAGGCAATCAATTACACTCGTTCCACAGTGCAGAGATGGACATGGAAAATGCATATACTTCACTTTTCATTTCTTTTTTTTGTAAGTCTTATAGTATTAAGTATTAACAGTATTAACAACAATTGATTTTTATATTCACTCTCATAAATTCACTAGCGAGCAGCTTTTCCAAAGTGTGTCAGTGAAGCTTTGCTGAGTATCGCTCCACTTACCCACACAGTGACTATTGGTGCAACAACAATTGCTTCAGGCTGGACTCGTCCGACCCCCGTCCTCCTCTCTCTTCTTTCCGCTCTCCTTCCTTGTAATTCCGGCTTCAATTTTATACGAAGCCGAAGTCGGTTTCGAGCTTCAGGCTTCACACAGCTCCGAGTCAGCAGGGCAGCTTCAGGCGGGTCTCGCGGGTCTCGTCCAATCGGGCGTCCTGGGGCTCAGCTCCCTAAGGCGCCAGCATCTCCGCGTGCAAGGACGTGCGCACCCGCGCGTTCACGTCCTACGTCATCGCTCCACCCCCACCACTAATGTGAAATAGGTAACTCAGTGTGGTTTAGCAGCATTTCCACAGGATAGGAGGACATCATGTCACCTGTGATGGAAGTAGTGGCCTCGTGTATCCGTTTCCAAAAAGGTACAATGAAAGGACATTCCAAAAATATATGCAGTATTGATCCGACCAAAATTAGGCACCTCCAACAGGAGGGTGATGTCTTAGGGTAGACCCTGTTGAAATTTTGAGTAGTGTTGCACCACTTTGTGAGATTTGTTCTCCTGGTATTTGGAGCAAAGCAAGCCTCGATGTTTTGGTGTCAGGATTTTTGTAGGTTGTTCCCTGGAGGACATAAATTGAAGTGGGGCTCCTAGGGCAACTATTAAACACAACCTTGAGAAATGGTCACTGAGTAAAGGAAGTATGAAAGCAGTAAGCTGCTAAGTACCCTTGGATTAGTGGGGAACTAGACTTGTAAGGAAGAGTATGAGATATCCTTTATTGTTGTGGACCAGTAGGGCACACTAGTTCCCCAAATTTTGTTATATTTATCTATGGAACCCATAAATCTATGTGTCCTTTCTTCATACAAGCCAGAGCGAGACACAACAGATTTTAGTGTTTTAATTCTAAGTGAAAGTCCCCATTAGTCCATCTCCTCAGCCTGAGCAGCAATGGGTGGCAGTGATTGTCAGAGAGTGTCAGTTTATCACTTTCAGGCTATCACAGCCACCATTGCTGGTATGTATTGGAATAGTTAGAAGGACGAGTGTAATCTCTGCTAGTAGCTGCCGGATTGTGGGTGGCCAGAGACTATGATTCATTGCTACACTGCTCAAAAATGTTATAACACTGAATGGAGGGACAGTGCAATGGAACTTGAGTTCAAACACTAAAAGCAATTTAGGCCCCGACTTAATATTGTTGGTTAAGTTTTTCAATTGATTTAATATTTTTTAATAAACCTTTAGAGTGATTTTTTTTTTTAAATACTACAATATAAAAAAAAAAAAAAAAAATTGGGGGCGGGGCCTGACAGCCGACCAAGACAGTCGCATGGTGCTGCAGCTCCTCAAAGAGACCAATTTATTTGGCTCCTTTTTCTGGCCTTGGGAAATACCCTGCTGACTACCTGACACCTTTGTACCTGAATCCGTTGGCCACATTTCTTGCTAGGCTTCCATGTGACCTGAGACCATAACCCTGGAGGGGGAGGCGGACGATCCTCAGCCTTTAAGTGACACTTGCTGACTCCGAGCCCTATTCCCCATCCCCTTTTGGACCGGGGGGAATATCTCGGTCTCCATTGGAAAATCTATGTGGGCACCTTGACAAGATCCAACCCTACTGGCGTATCACTAGATCGAGGCCTAGTACTCAAGATGGCTACTGGGCCTTCCGTTATATGCACCTTCTCACAAATGCTTCTGCACACGGACCAGCTACTTCTGACTTTTGACTGCATTTGTGCAGAGTTCTGGGCAAAGTTCTATGCTCGGGAACTTACCATTACTCCTGCTAACCGAATCATAATGCCCCAGACCAGTGGTATTTACTTCATGACCTCGTTCGCGGTTTTACTTTTCAGTATCTCCTAGCCACGTTTACCTAGGTGGACAGGGTGTTTCTACTCCCTACAGAAGTTAAGCATGTTTTCATGTTGATGCTAATTATCTCTTGTTTTATTAACCTCCATGACTTTAACAAGCTGTCTGTCCTCCAGCCTTCATTTAACTTAGTACTTGGACATGATTAGTTTAATTCATGCTGTATAAATTGTAAAATGTGCAGGCCCCTTGACGTCATTTATTGCAATTGTTCTTGCTGCATTGGCTTTTATTTGATATGTCTTGTAATCCTTATATGTACAACTCTGCACAATAACAATAAAGAATAAAAAAAAACTAAATATTCTAAAAAAAAAATCTAAATATTAAAATATTTTTCAGAAAATGAAATCATTCGAAAAGCCTATCCAAAGATATTACATTGAACCCTTAGTGAGATGAAATTATTGTAGTGCTTAGAGTTCCCCTTTAATGGTGGTATTTCTTTGTACCCACTTTTACAAACCTTCTCTTTGAAACCTAATGCCTTATAATTTATTTAGCAAATACAGGGTGCAGCAGAGTCGATTAAGCATTTTTGAGGGGGTCAATGCTCGGGTTGTAGTGGGGGGAGGCAGGTACACCTAGTCTCATTGTGCTCCGTCCATCAACAACAACCAATCTGTGATCGCAACGCAAAGAGCTTTACGGCAATGGTTCAACATTACGCGCAATAACGCCGTTCCTAATGCAAACACAATTCGGTCATGGGTTAGGCCGTTGTAGGAAACTGGTACCACACTTAGAAGAGGTACACGTGGCCGACGCAGGTCCATAAGAACACCGGAAATGTGCAGCTGGTGAGAGCAGCAATTGAGGACATTTTGCTCGTGTTGCTTTGGGAATGTCACACTGCAGTCTGAGGAGGATTCTTCATTTAGATTTGCAGTTTCATCTCTACAAGATGATGTTGGCTCAAGAATTGAGTATAGCAGATTATGCCAAACTCAGAAATCTGTGTGAGCAAATGCTTGCACAGGTCCCGCCCGCAGCAGCTTTCTTCAGTAGCAACGAGGCACATTTTTATCTCAGTGGAGCTGTGAAAAAACAGAATTTCCGCTACTGGGCTCAAAATAACCCCCGAATGATTCATGAAAGACCGCTACATTCACCATAACTAACGGTGTGGTGCATCACAATTCGGAGTGATAGGCCTGTACTAGTGAAGGCGAGAACATTATGTCTCAATGTTGGAAAATTTTCTACAGCCCAGAATGGAAGAGATTGTTGAAGAAGAGGAATTAGGGGAGTTCTGGTTCCAACAGGATGGGGCTACAGCCCACACAGCCTGAAATACACTCAATGGTTTTCTTTTCTTTGGGGATATCTGAAGGAAAAAGTATTCAAACATTGCCCTCACACCCTACCAGAGCTTATGGAGCAGATTATTGAAGAAGTTAATGCCATACCCCGCGATATGTGTGAACGAGCTGTACAAAACTTCAGAGACCGTCTCCAACAGTGTGTTGCTGCTAATGGCAGCCTTCTCAAGGACATTATTTTCAAAACTTAATTTATATAAAATGGTATTTACTGCTGAATTCGAAAATAAAAACAGTTTTTCTCTATATACCTCAGTTAATTTTTTTATAACCCCTCAAAACTGCTTAATCGGTTCTGCTGCACCCTGTATTCTATCCTGCAAAAGTCTTTACTCCATACTCCCTTTGTCTTCTATGACTTTAAGACGTCATCTTACGTTGTGGTGCTGAGATCCAGTCTTCCATTCTTATCAAGATAATCATAGAGGTCGCCTCCGCTTAAATACTCCATGGCAAAGAAAAGGCGGTCCTGATTAAGAAGATGCAGCAGAATAAAGGTTAGACTATTTAGAGTATACTTTCATTCTGTATGGCAGTAATGTGGTTGCTGGCTACACACCAGTGCTATGGAAATAATGATGATGATGATGATATAATAAGAATAAGAATAATAGTAATAAAAATCAAACATACAAAGGTTCTAAATGTATTAAAAGGAACACTCCAAACACTTAAAGCATTTCACATTGCTGTTCATTTCTTACTTTATAAAAACATTGATTTCAAGAGAAATCTGTTCTTTTATAAAGCTACTAAGTTGCACCCTCCTGATTGCACTGTGCCTTAGGAAACAGCAGATGTGAGACTTTTCACAGAGAAACATTGAATTCAGTGCTTCTGTGTGAGAAGCATTGCCAAGGACCTGTACTTCTCTAGTGCTTCTCAATAGTGATCATCTACCCGAGGCAGAGCAGAGCTGCAGGGAGGAGATCACCTTGCCACTGGTTAGAGGTAAACTACTTTTACAGGTTCTGGAGGGAACAATATAGAACCTGTAATATATAATTATAAATAATGATAAAGGCCAGAGTAACTTCTGTTTCACAAACCTGTCTCTCCTAAAGGGCCAGACTCCACTCTCACCTCCAGTTCTGCTACTTTCCCACCTTGTTGTCTGGTTGCTATACCCCTTGATACTCTTCCTATTGTGTTTTTATACCCAATGTCCTCTAGACTGTAAGCTCATTTGAGCAAGGCCCTCATCAACCTACTGTTCCTCTAACATTTTGTAATTGTCTCATTTATTGTTAAATTTCCTCATTTTATTATATTGTAAAGCACTGCAAAGTTGGCACTATATAAATGCCTACAATAATAATAATAATAATAATAATAATAATGTATTAGAGTCATTGCATTCCACATCTTTGCTAACACAATTTTATTGTAAAGGTTATGGTCCTGGGCAGTCTTTATCCAGCTCTGTTGATATCTGTTCCAAAAACCCATGGTGATCTGACATGCCTTTTATAATGTCAGGGAAACTTACAAAATATCAATTAATAGTCAACGGGCCCCAAGTACTCTTTCTATGGTAGGTGGAAATGCAAACTAGAAAACATCCCAGTAAGAAATTGTATGGTGACAATAAATCCAAAAATATATAAAAACAATAGATGTATTTGGAGTCAACTCCACGTTGTGATTATTCTGAAGTTACATTCTCTTCAACTAAGAGATGCTGAGAACTCCCAAATCTCTAAACAGTCCAATGAAAATAATGATTTAATCCCCATCAGACATAAAATCTAAAGCTGCAGAGTCCATTTTATAGCTGTGTATAGACATAGAAATCTCTCACAGCAATCGTCTCATACTGAGCTCTCTCAGCCAGTGACTGCCATCCTGGTTTGGTTCTCATGTGTTAATGCTAAAGTGGTTTTTCATATTATATGTGCAGCTGAAGAGGGTTTGGGCTATGGATTCTGGGAAAATCCTTCATTATGTAAAGCCATTTTGACACCATAACCACTACACTCTGGGCATCATAACAACTTAATGGAAATGGGCACTGGCTTACCTTTGGTGGTTACACTCTTAATGAATGGTTTAACCCCAAAGAGTTGAATCCAGCACTGTTAAGCTCTCTTTCTGCTTTTTTCTGAATCTTGAAGCAGGAAGCCTCAGTATGCTGGTTTAACCCCTTAAGGACACATGACATGTGTGACATGTCATAATTCCCTTTTATTCCAGAAGTTTGGTCCTTAAGGGGTTAAAGCCAATCAGTAGTTCCCCATTCACAAAGCAGCTTGAGAGAAATCCATATGTTTCTCAAGCTATTTGTGAATGGGAATCTCCTGAAAACACCCCTGGAGATAGTCAGAGTTAAACAGTCATTAATTCAGCTCTTTGGGGTTAACTGTTCATTAACGATTTAACCCATAAAAGTAAGCCTTTGACCTGGCACCATAACACCATACTGATTATGTTGTTATGGTGCCTGGAGTGTTCCTTTCAAGTACCTGTTTAAAAAGGGGGTTGATATAAGGTAATAATGTTGGCACCTCTGTCTGGAAGGTGGCATATGCATGGGTGAGGAATTTGCTCCCGGCAGCAATTTCCAGCACCCGGCGTTCAACTAGGCAGCTGCTTGCGCTTTCAATAAGGCGTTGCTTATCGATGATCTTCATAGCGAGCCATTTGTTGGTTATCTGGTCAGATGCTAAAACAACCTGTAGAGAGAGGAGAAAAAAATCATCATGGAAGTACTGTGTATTCATTTACTCTCACACTTAGATGACTTATATTGACAAATGGAAATTAATACAAAGTTGTTATTTTTAGATTTGGTTGTTTTTTGTTTTTTTGTTTCATTTTATTTCACAATCGAAAGTAGGGACTACTTTGACTTATGAGCAAAACCAAGGCTGACAGATAATACACTATGAACTTTTTTTTTTTAATTGGTATATATATATATACAGTATCTGTATATGTGTCTATTATATACATATGTATGTGTGTGTAGAGCATCGTGTGGGTGTCCTTTCTCCAGCTCTCTCTCCGTGGTAACCCGTTGCAACGCTTTGACAGCTGGAGGCTTGCGATAGTTGAAGAAAGGACCCTTCAGAAACAGAAGAAAGCATGTCCTGGGTCCTCCTTCACTATTAAAGCCAGCACGAGGGAAGCTTGCTTGTACAGGGCAAACAGACCACCATGGAAAGTAGTCTCCCCCCTCACTGGCCACAGGTAACAAGCAGGACTGGGAGAATAAACTTATAAAAAAAAAACAATAAACATAAAATATATATATATATATATATATATATATTCTTTATTTTTTGCTGGCAATCAGAGGAAAGGCACAATTTTATAAAATGAATAATACAAGCTGTGACGGTAGTAGAAAATATCCCCGTCAAGCATTCCCTTATTCCCATAAAAGAAAAGCACTCAATATTCCATAAGCAGAAATATCCCTGGAATCGCCGAATAATCCACACATGAGCCAAAGCTTAATGCTGGAACAAGACTGATTTACTGGCACACAGAACTCACAATTTATGCAACACAAAACTCCTCCTCTGGGCCAGGCTAGATAATTGAGTTTCTACAATACACAAAGCTCAATTATCTGCTGGCCAGAAACATTACAATTTATGACAATTTCAGAAACATACTTTTTATAAGACATGCAAATATACTTTTAACATCCCTGGATAGCTGAGGATACTGGTAGTTACATATCCAAATCTCACGAATTTCCGTTCGGTAGTTTCCGTGTCGCATCGTGTGGAAGTTTGACCGGCTTGCCATGTGGAGGTATCCGAGTTACAGTTCCATAGAATCAGTAGCAAGAGCCGGTCTCCGTTCGCATCTAACTACACGAAAACTACCGTTCGTATGGTTCAGCTGGTTACCTGTGAATGTTCCCCTCATTCGGTAGATGCTATCTACCGAATGCCAGTTTGATTCGTGGAGGGGAACGTATTCATCCAGGACTTCCATGGCGTTCGCATGTTTCCCGTACCGAAAACAGTTCCATGCAATTCATGCGTAAGCCCCGCTGACCACATTCGTGAGTTTTAAGATGGCCGCCATCCTTTGTTCTCGCCACGTGTTCATATGTCGAATGGCGGCCACCTAGTAGCAATTAAGTTGTGGTTTCTCTGTGTTCTAATTCCTACTTGCTACCCAGGGTGTGTGGTCCCCTTTCGGTAAACGAATACATTTATTTCTCTGAAAAGGCCGTGTTTACATGAAAATGCCTGAAGGGAGCTATTATACTCACCAGAACAACTACATTAAGCTGTAGTTGTTCTGTTGACTACAGTGTCCCTTTAAATTAGATTGCAGCGCATGTCAGCTATATATCATATCTTATTTTTAAGCAAACATCTGCAGGAGCTGTACTCATTTTCATTTACACAGTGTATGTTAGCTACTTGAGACTAACTTATGTTTTCTTATAAAATGAGTCCTTTTTGACCACAGGGAGACATACCACAGACTATATGATGGCATAGCTTTGTACTGATTTTTTTTGTAAATATATTGTTTTTATTACACAGTTAGACATCCCATTGTTTACACAGTTATTCATTTATGAATACAAGTGTAATAAGTAGTCGTATAATTTATACTGAGTGGGTCATCTAGCTTTCTGGACATGTCTCTGAACGACTCATGCACATACGTCATTCTTTTATGCAGAGAAGCCATTAACAAAAGTACAAAAAAAAGAACCAGAATAAGAGATAAGCTGAAGTATAGCTTTGTACGTCTAATGTTTTATATTGATATGTGATGATATTGGTAATGCTTGGATATTATACCGTTAATTATCTCATGCTTGTCTGCTTGTGTTGTTGTCGCCACTGTACTGTATTGTTTATCTGACTTATGCCTCAATAAAAATACAGATCAAAAAAAAAAAAAAACTATATGCCAACAACAGGACTAAAAAACCCCGAAAAGCCCCCCTGTGCATGATCCCAGGATAAAAGTACTTGTATGGGTTAAGACAGGGCCGTCTTTAATATTGATTGGTCCCTGGGCAAGCATCTGTTTGGGCCCCCTGGGCATGCAATCACTCCCTCCACCCCAACCTAGAGGCGAAACTAATGTAGAGAGTGCCTTGGTGCAACAAAAAAAAAAATCAGGCCTGCCCTGTATCACAAGAGTAAAGAAAAGATAGATCCCCATCTGTCATACAACTCCTGCGATGCTATGCCAGCTGGGGATCTACCATCCTTGCAGGGTTGTATTTTTGAGCAGTGTTTGTGCAAATGAATGTCAGCATGTTATTGTATAGAGTGTATGTGTGCATGTAGGAGTGTATTTGTATGTACTGTTACCATTGGAATGCAGTGGTGTACTTGTGTGTAGTGTTTGCATTTTAATGCAGGGATGTGTGATTGTTTGTAGTGTTGGCTTTTAAATGCAGGTGTACTTTTGTGTGTAGAGTTGGTGTTTGTATATCATTTTAGCGTTTTAATACAGGAATGTGTTTGCATGTAATGTTTGTATTTGCATGCAGGGGGGTGTTTGGATGTAGTGTTGTCTTTTAAATACATGTGTACATTTGTGTGTAGTATTAGTGTTTCAGCAAACTGGTGTGTTTGTAATGTTTGTGTTTGCAGGGGTCTGTTTGCATGTTGTGTGATTTCTATAACACATATACACATACACATTAACACGCAGATACACACATGCTCACACTGACACATGCTCACACCTTGACACATACTGGCACATACACATACACTCAGATACACACCCTTTGACACACAGATACAAGCACTTTGATATACACACACTGGCACATACACACACACACACACTGACACAGGTATATACACACACACTCAGATACACACATACATAAAGGTATAAATGCAGGGGTGTATATGTGTACAGTGCTAGAGATGGAATGTAGGAGTGTATTTGTGTTGGCATTAAAATGCTGGGATGTATGCATTACCACACACTCAGATGCACACTTACACACACACCAAAACATACACACAGGTGCACATACAGGTGTATGAGGTATACATACACACAGAAACACTGACACACAGACAAACACAGCCAGATACACACAAGGACATAAACACAGCCAGATACACACATATATATGTGTACATTTACATATTTTAATCTCTGCCTTCTAGCAGCTCTTGGACAGCAACTCCCAGCAACCTTGGCCAATATAATGTCTCAACTCTGTTCTTACATACCCTGGTCCAGAATTTGGCAAAAGTGACATTTGAAAATGGTGTACAGCCTTTGATAACACTTGATGCAATATGTTAAAATAAATACTTTTTAAATTTATATTTAATAGGGAACTGTCAGGTTCTTCTAGGATTTTTAACATGTACTTATTCCCTGTGTGTTACATTACAAACACCAACACACTTAAATAAAAGTGATATCAGAAATTAGCAAAACAAAAAACAAAACATATTTAGCCACCCTCCTGTCTCCTTACATTTTGGGTACAGAAAGGTGGCTTCCCTGGTGTCCAGTGAGAGCTTGCTGGCCCAGGCTGATGGGAGTCTGCCATCAGCTTTCTCAGTCCCTCTCCCCCACAATGCTTGCATCCTCCTCCATGTGGTGTGTGCCTCCTCCCCAGCGGCACTGAGGAGGAAGTGATCAGTTCTTACTGGGAGGAAGCAATCTGACCTCACTTCCTCCCAGCATGCCCAGGAAACAAAGAGACTCACAGGGCAGTATGTAGTCAGCCACCCCCCATATAACAGGGGCCCGGGCCGGTCCAGAGCAGTATTAAAGGGCTGTGGCCCCTGATTACCTCAGGTGCCGCAGGGGGCCCATGGGGCAGCTGCCTTAGGGCCCCCAGGAGTAACTGGGCCCGGAGCAGCTGCCCCTTTTGCCCCTCCTTAAAGACGGCCCTGGGTTAAGAGGTATATTGCATCACTCAGTGGCATATCTAAATGAGGGATTTGGCTTTTGAATGTAGTTATAAAACATGTGCAAGGAAACAGGGGCAGAGAACCTGTTTCAAAATAATCTATGTAAGAATAGAGTATCTCTTTGGGAATAAGTAACTCGTAAACAAAAATAAGGCCTAAAAAATAGGGGGAACAGCTTATTTTGGGTTACCCCCTATTGGAGAGCACAGTGGAAGCGATCATGCCCAGGAAAGGCATGGAGACCACATTATCAGTTGAAAGTGGTTTGCTAGACCACTTCAATATTGTTGTTTCTCTATTTAGGAATATTTAACAGCATTGTGGAATCATGTGACCAGGAAGTGCAGACAGACATGACAGTTGGAGTCATTTGAAAATTGACAACTTTATGTAAAATGGATATAACACTCCTATAAATAATACAACAGGTACTAACAAATGCCATTGTTCATAACATAACACCATGCATCCATAATATATCCATATTTGAAAATTATTTTAATATAAAGTTTGAGGATTCTTCTGACTTGCTTAAAGCCCAAAAAGCTGAATTTAAAGATTAAAGATTTTTTCTAAGTCCCTAACTTTCTCTGGTCCGCACAACTCACGGTTTATAAATTAAATGTTTATAATTTTAGCAGCTGTGCTGGCTGGAACCCTCAGAACTGGACTTAAAATACATACGGCACCATGTATTGTACAGGGGTATACTACAATTATATCGTTTTAACTAGAGAAATAATTTTAATCTAAATAATTGTTGACAGTTACACAAACAGGAGTAGTCACTAAAGTAAGAAAAGCCTGAAATGTCAGGTGAATTCAAAATGAATTTCAAAATTAAGGCTAAATTAGTCAAACTGGAAAGATTTTCCAGGTCAACTATAATTTCAGTTCGGCTACTTTGGCCTTAAATTTGAAATTCAGTTTGAATTCTCAACAATGTTCACTTTTGTGAATAACTCCGATACATGTCTGTTAAGAAAACCTTTTAAATACACAACTTTTAAAAATGATCTGTACAGTTGGGTTCCGTTTTATTCTAAACAGGTTCTTGTGTTATATTAGGCTTTCACTATTCATTTCTGTCCATAAGAAAATTCTCAGTACATGGCACCATTTGGTGGATATTACATACCTTGCCAAAGCTGCCCTGTCCAAGGGTTTTATGGATGGCAAATCTCTCCAGAGAAATGCTAGTCTCCATTGGAGAAACCACAGGATGGATGGTGGCTCCTTCTGGGAGAGTAAAAATAGTCCATATGTAACATCATATGTAAAAAAAGATTAACGTCTAAGTTCTTTTTTGTTAAAAATGTGTTTTGTATTATGTAAACTTTTTTTATTGTTATTTTGACACAGTACGTACTGAAATGTTTACTTCGGGTCCTGATTGACTAGGTTTTAACCATAAGATACATATATTTTTAATGTTCTTACCTCGTATGAACAAATGCTCAAATCTTACTGAGAACGTCTCACTTCCAACAATAATCCTTATATTTTGAAAACCAAAAGGGGGAAGTAGATTTTTGGAATCTACTAAAGTTAGGCATCAGTGTTAAGTTAGTTTAGGTAACTGTGATTAAAGAACACATAAGAGGAGTATTACTGCGTTTTGAGACATTAAATATACAGTAAACCGCTCTGAATTTAAATATTCTCTAATAGAATGGATCCCCCTTCTCAATCTCCAGTGTACTGTTTCTTACCTTCGCATTTCTTCTTTCTCTTCAAATGCTCTTCTGTTTCACTCCCGTCTGGTCCTTTCTTCTCCTCGGTCTTCTCCCGTTGCCTCTTCTTGCCTGTCCTCTTCTTTCCACATGATGTTTCGGTGGTTGTTGGATTTTCCATATTTGTTCGTTTACAATTTTTGAATAACAGCACGAAAACTCCTCTGAATCGCTTGAAAGCTAGCTGAGGAGTGACAGTTGCACTGGTCAAGCTATAGAATCCTGTGATGTCGCTGCTTCTATACCAACTAAATTCAAAAAATGCCAACAACTACATGTTTATTTTCAAATCTAATTAATATTATAATGATTTTTGGCATACATTTTTTTTTTTTTTTGGGTTACACAGTTAGCTTGGGTAGCTGTCACTATGGAATTTATACCATTGTATATAACCTTGAAAATCACTTATAATTTATCTAAACATTTTTTTATGTGATGTTCCATTTTTGTTTAAAAGTTTATTAAAGTCTGGGCACTGCAAAAAAACACATTACAAATAGGGTGGAGAAATATATATTTTTTTATTTTTGCCTTTCGCATATGAAATCTTAAAGGGGTTATTCACTAAAGTAAGAAGTGTCAGGAATTCATAGTGAATTTCAAATTAAAAGACAAAATAGCAGAAATTGAAATGTTGTCCAAGTCAGATATGCATCAAGCTTGACTATTTTAGCCTTCAATTTTAAATTCACTTTGAATTCCTCAAAATTCTCACTTTACTGAATAACTCTGTGAGTATCATTTTTATCTCAAGATATAAAAATTTGTGTCTCTTATATTAATGCTACTACTATTATTGATACACATACACTGATAATCCACAACATTAAAACCACCTGCCTAAAACCCCCCTCGTGCTACCAAAACAGTTCTGATGCATCGAGGCATGGACACCACAAGACCTCTGAACATGTCCTGTGGTGTTTGACACCAAGACATTAGCAACAGATCCTTTAAGTTTTGCAAGTTGCGAGGTTGGACCACCATGTATCGGATTTGTTGTTCCAGCACATCCCACAGATGCTCAATCGCATTGAGATCTTGGGAAATTGGAGAGCAAGGCAACACCCTGAACGCTTTGTCATGTTCCTCAAACATCTCAATTTATTAGAACTAACTGGGCAAACATCCAGAGATGTTCCACCGTTAAAGTCAACTTGGACTCATCTCCTGGTGTTGGTTTAACGAAAAGTAGAAATCCATGATAAATGTACATTTGCATTCTGAAGACCAAATATATAACATTTGGCTATTAATGTTATGTTGAGTAGTTGCACAAGTTAATTTGTTGGAAGAAGGTATAATTAAAATCTAATCTATGCAATTTACTTACTGTTTAGTTGGTACACCATATACATAGGAGTTTAGTCTCTGTAACAGTGGTTTTGGCAAGAATTAAAATAATGTATATGACATTAACCTGGCAACGCATTTTACAGTTTTTTTACATTTACATTTCACAGTGTATGGGAAGTCCATTGCATTTGGCATTATAGCAAAACTAATTATCGTGGAAGAGAAAGCCAAAGTGGTGCGTATTGACAGATTCATTTTAATATTTATTATATATATATACATATATATGTTTATTATTTTTATTATAAAAATCTAATAACATTTATTTGCATGAAAAAAGTTCTAGTTTTACCAATTAATTAAACTGTATTATGCTGCATTAACATTGCTGCCAATGTTAGACTGGCTGATTAAAGGGTTACTTTAGCACTATAACTATTGCAACTCAGTATCACAGTGATTAAGATGGCTAATGTCTGAGCTCGCTTCTGCTTCAGCCCAGATGCTGCGGAGAGGCCAAAATGTAGGTAAGCCACCAGAGTCCCTGCTTTTGTGAAACAATCAAAATATTTGTAACACAAGTCACATGGACTCTGCACCATAACCACTGCTATAATGAGCTATAGCAGTTATAGTGCTCAGAGGGACCATTTCAAACTATTTAACTTAACTAATAAACATATTAATGTGATGATTTATTGAAAGAGTACGCAGCCTTCATTTTTATGTGGTAATAGCGTGCTGATTTTAATGTGGAGAATAGTATATATCTAGATAGTAACTTGAAAGTGCAAGAGTGTGCATGTCATTGCAGTGCTGCAGGTTGATACGTTCACAGGTCCATAGCATGTGCATGAAACATAGTTCTTGAGTATCAGCTTCTACAACTTGGTCAGGCGGAAGATGTGATTGTTCGTTTTCTATACTGTCTGGTGGTCACCATCATCAGCTCTTGAAAGAGGCTACAGCTGCTCCTGATCATGTCCTGAAGGAGACTCATAATTATCTCCAACATGGATGTTATAGGGTCAGATACCTTTTAAACCAGTAGACTGGATGTCCTCTTCCATATGTCCACCACTCTGGTTCCTTACATTCGGTTTCTCCTGCATTTCTAGGAGTTAGCATTAAGTACCACATCTCAAGTCTATGGGGATCAACAGCAATCTCTGCCAGTCCTTATATTTCTTCTTATCGTTTTCCTCTTTCACCTCCTAGATTATAGTTTCTTTCCATAGATCCTAATGGGAAAAAAAGAAAAAAGTAACTAATAGGAAATAGCATTACAATATACAAAATATGAAAGGACTGCTCACCGTGCCAGTACCACTTCATGTCAATTTTATGGGGCCATAAGATCACCATGGCATTCTTACCTTTAACCGTTAAACTGATTTTGAACACTTACTGGCCACCCCTAGCCAGTAGTACTTCCGAATAATAAAAACCAAGGGATGTTTGATGATTTTACAAAAAGTTACCTTGAAAGACCTGATTGGTGCATGTAGTTTGCACCAATATGTTGATTACCAAAGAATCCTTACAGGAATAAAGGAACACGCCAGTCAACAGGAAGCCCCTAGGCACTTTTCTTACCTTAACTTCATTTAGATTAAGTTGTTATGGTGACCAGAGTGTTCCTTTACGCTTCTATAAGTTACCCAGCTATGCTTCTCAGAATTAACTTTTGATGCAAGTATTGAATGCACATTTTACAGTGTGCTCATTGGTTTTGATGAATTTAGAAATGAAGAGAAAATCATAAAATCGGAACAAAGTATTATTTTAACCAGGTCCTAACCAAAAGTTAGGCTAAAAGCTCTAACCACACATAACAGGTCTATTTCGAAGCTGATGAGAAATTTTATCTTCTCAAGTGATATGGGAGCTTCCTCATCACACCAACTCATCATATGTACAAGAGAATAGAGTGATCTATCCAGCATATTTTCTCAGAGAGACCATCTGACTAACCTAGCGCTGCATTTTGCCGTGCATGCGCACTATACTCTCAATACATATGTATTCATAAAGCTATAGTGTTCGTTTAAGCATATTAGGGTATATATAGCCTTTAAACATGAATTAAAATAGGGAACGAGAATTAATTTTTTCCACACAAGTATTTTATTAATTTTATCATCTACCTATAAGTGTCATACCTCGAGCTGCCGCGCAGCACTTGCAGATTCAGGGGGAGCCGCATGGCAGCCACAATGTCTCCTGTCCTGCGCCACTCCGATCAGCTGCTCCATGTACAGAAGGTGTTCTGAACTATGTCAATCTTGCGAGTTGCAGATCACCGTGGCAGCCTCATACCGCCTACAGGAGTCCTCAAAGTTACAGGACCCGGTAGGTTTTGGTCATATTATTATACAATTTGTAAGGGTCATGTGACGAAAGCCCTGTTTGGACAGACTCAGGGAAACAGCATTTCGTCTTAATATTCATGTGTTTGGCTATTTCGTGTATTTGTAAAAGAGCCGAACAAACTCCCGAACCACCCGACCTCCCACCAGGGTCGTGTGCAGCTCATTTACCACCCAGACCTTGCGGTTAACACTTTACCGTCTGGGATTTTCCTCTTATACGAGCTAGACCGACCCCAGGTAGCTGCAGTTATGGAACTCTTTTCGGATTCAATTTCCCGAAGAACCGGTGAACTTAAAACTTTACTCGACGATATTGAGAACTGTGTTCGTGGGATCTGAGCGCTATTCGTCTATATTGTGCGCTCAGATCCAAGCTATCTGGGGGTATGTGGAACATGGAGACGCTCAGCCAAATATGAGTTATGGATTTTAATACAGTTTTGTCAAAATGTAAAAAGGACATGTTTTCTCTACCTGGAGATAATTAGGTTCTATCTAACCACTTAAGTTAATTATCTCCAGGATAGAGGGGAGGGTTGCACTGTTACTGTGGGTGTGTTTAATAATTGTACTGTAAACTGATTGGTTCTGTATATTTTGTCACAGTTTTCCACAAGGTCCCCTGTGGGAGTTTCCTTGCTGGGAGACCATCATAAAAGGCTGAGTTTGGCCATCAATAAATCAGATCGTTTTACCCCTTCATGAAGTCTCGACTCATGTTTGGGAGAATTGGGAGCTATAATCACTACTTCGTTATTATTCTACTGGGAGTTCGGGAGAAGCTGCAAGGATCGGTACTACAGAGATAACAGGATCCTTCACAGGTCATAACTATGGTGCACATAATCTACCCTTCACAAGTCATACCCCTTTATGTAAATTGGTGCAGGTTGGTGATGATGTCCAATAGTATTTTGGTTGCCCCTATAAATACTTTCCTCCTTCCTAGGATCATTGGCCTGTTGTATTATTGCCTGCAAGTGCGTACTGTTAACTTGGTATTTCTTGTTACTGACCCGGCTTCATATGGACTATTCTCATTTTCTGTATCCTTAACCCTGGCTTGTTTAATCGTCTTTTGAGTACCTATCGAATCCTTGACCATGGCACACGTTAAGCACGGCCACGCCATGAGATATACATATCTCGCTCTTTCTATCTCCTTCATTCAAGTTGCTGTTTCCCTATTCTCTGTGTGTAGGTGTTACCCATCCAGACAATAAGTGACTTTTTGACATTATTGATTTGCTATTCATGCAATTTGCAGGGTTTTTTGTCCACAAGATGGCGAGCTTGCCTAGCTTTTCACTACTTTAGTATCACAGCAAAAGATTCATTACATTTGCAACAACCAGGATATAGTTTGATTGGTGCCATTTAAGTCTGAGTTGGATCCTTTGCTAGAAGTGCTTTTTAGAAAGAATGTGAATGGCATTTTTTAATAGATTTG